CCATACCTACTGTTTACAGTCAGTACCATAAATATTCATACCATCTAGGTCTAATAACGAAATTTGTCTAAATTAGATGACAGGTTTAATGTTTCCAAATCATTTTTTTATTACGAGTGTACAAACACGTAAAAACTATTTGTATATGAAGTATAACGAAGCATTTCTTTGAAAATATTGAACCTATCGTTCAATTTAAACAGAGTTCTTCGATAAACGTAGAGGGTACGGATACTTATTGGACTGGCTGTATATTGACATTCAGAAACACACATGATTCCAAGAGTTATCCTCACATTCCCCACTTGCTCCAAAAGCACCTCACCTTAATTCCACGCTACGGCAAGTACGAATACTTGAAACCGTCGTAATCGAATCGAAAATGCAGTGGTCGTTCGCAGGCAATCAAGAGGGAGCGAGATGGAGCGGCCCTGAGCGGTCCCCTTTGGCAGATCGCAGCTGATTCTGATTCTGTTTGGTCTGCCACGCGATAGAGAGTTCCTAACCGCGGGCATTATCCGTTCGGATCTGCCGTTCGGCGCAGATTAAATTCGCGGGATCAAATTCCATCAGAGAATGCTTGGTTGAAGTAGGGGAAGGGCAACGCCGTGTCAGGGGTGGGATGTGATTTCGATCGTGTGCCAGGGCAACGTTAACGTCTCGCGGAGGTATTTTAGTAATTGCGACCGAATGCCTCGGATACTTTCGCGGATGTAAGTTCCGCCAAGAGAGCTCTTGATAAATTCCGTAGCGTGAGCGAGCTGGCTAAGATTAACCGGGCCGGATTTATTGGGACGTTTCGGCGAAGACTTCCGGCGTCGATCGACGAGATTAATTGTTTATCGGTCGCGAGCAATATTGGCCGCAATTCCGACGAAATATAGAACCGGTGATATTTTTACCCTGCTGTACAGTGTGTTTCGTTCGTCTTGGTCGCCTCAAGGGGATAGTCGTTCCTTCTCGAGGACAAAATGCAAGGAAACTCCCACAATTTGGCGTGGTTTTATAGTTCAGAAAATATTTTTAGTTTTCACCAATGCTAAGCAAATAATTAAGAAAACCTCAGTGTATCGTTAAGTACAAACATTTCATATAATCTTATTCCAGCATTGAAACCTAAGTAGTTTACTTGAGACCGAAGTGTAAGAAAATGCAAAAACGAAAAAGTGATTTTTTTTGGCGCAACATAGAACACGAAACCCCCATTTATGCCTCCGTTACTTCCGAAGGTGCGAAATAATGTATCGGGAAGACAAATCGTTCACCTTGGAGGAACGGATATTATGATCGAAGACCTTTCCTCCTCTAAGACGCTTATTTTTTCTGTGTTTTCGAGGTCATCGATATTACTTTGCGTAGCAGCGACATATTTTTATTACCAGATTTTTGTACCTGACAAGAAAACGAGTTTCACCTCGCGTTTAAACTGAACATGAACAAAACAAACTTCGAGAAAAATGATAACAGAATTATTCGCTGCTCTGTACGCATAATTTATACAAAATAAATATTCTTTGAATTTCCCAACGTACGGTCTGAAAAATTGCCTTTCGTTTTCGAACATTTGCAGAGTAAATAGAAAATTTGAGACTTGAAAATGGAAAGAAATTCAGAGGTACAAAATGTTATCGATAAGGAGGTGCTTGATATCGCAAGAAATCCTGGCGAGAGTTTCATTAATTTCGAGCGTTTCTCGAACCCTTCATCTTACACGTTCCATGTACTTTTATTTATTGCTTCCTGATGGTCTTAAACGACATCCGCCGGCCTGAAATAGTCGAGTTGCGAATGTGTAAGGTACTTTTTCAAGCCGTTTGCCGTGCTACCGTGCTTGCAGAACAGCTAACGCATTAAGATTAAATCAATACTTGTTCTAGCTGGGCATAAATCACGAAAAACGGTATGAAAAACGACTGTTAATAAGCTGGAACTCTTTAGGCTTGCCGTGCACGCATGCAGCCTCGGAACCAAGAAATTAAAAAAAAGATGTATAACCCTTCGCGATACGAGGGCGTAATGAGCGAAGTAGTCGAAATAGAAGTAATTTGTTACCCTACACTTTCAATTAATTATCAAACCATAATTCCCGCGATTCATCGCAGAAAATATTAAATTTTAATGCTGCTGCAAAATAAACACAATTATTCCCCTGAAGCAGACGAATGGCACAAAGCCTTCCCAAGTATTCAAGACTCTGCTGCTATTCCCCCAAACTATAAAACGCAAAGGAACCCAAATGACAAAAGATGTTCAGAGTAGCAACCCGAGATCTTATCGTAATTCCTGAACCACCCCGAGTTCGTATAAGGTTAGATAAAGAACAGAAGATACCGACCTAAAAGAGACACGTTAAATGGGACACGCGTTTGAAGTACTAAAAAAAGAAAAGAGCCCGTGCCTGGAAATCCTGGCGAAACGAGTGCGAGAGCCAGGGCGACGTGGCTCGCTTTTTCCATTAAAACGATCCCGGAGGACAGAATTGCCGTCATTCATCGGCTGCCAGGGACGCTGATGCCATCAGCGCAAATTACGCGGCGCATTTTACGACACAAATGGCGGCGTTGCGTGGCATTTGCTGGCCGCGGTCTCATTAGACGAGCCTTCCGCTCGTAATGCCACTCGACTTTTCTGGAACGTGTGACGCGGGAGGCGATTAAACTCGCCGCAGCCACGTCGCGCGAGGTGTCGTCCCCTTTCCGCGGAGTCAGACACGCTGCCAGATAGCTCTGGCAGAATGGAGACCGCGAGGGGACGTGGATGGGGATCAAGAGTGGCGAGACCACATCAAAGCGCGAGAATAAGGTCGACATTCTTGCTCAGTGGTGCGTCGGGTCCTCGCGAATTGGAATCGAGTATTTGTTTTGATGGTTTGGTAGAAGTGGATGTCAGGATGGGATGTTAGGGGTAGTTGGGTGTGGCAGGTGTTCAGAAGATTAAGAATTGGAGAGTTGGATGATGGGCAGTATCAAATCTGGGGGTACTGGAGACTGGAACCTTTAATTATTAGAGTATTGGGAGTACTTGGGATCTTGGACTTCCTAGAAATGGGAATATTAGACCAGGAATTAGCGAGGCACTTGTGTATCTAGGTCTAGAGCTAGGATGCGCGACATAACTCTAGCGTGAGCAAGCTAGAGTATGTCATCGGTAATGTAACGCAATTCTGTCGGTAAGATTCGTCAAGGTAGAGCTCTAAGTGGTTGAAATTATCAACAGAGTGCTTCGATAGATTGCTCTGCATTGCCAATAATGTTATCTGTCTTATCAATCGAGTGAGACCTACCGACAGTAACGATTCCCCTCCCTTTCTCTTTCTAATCCTTGATAAACAGAAGATAAGTAAATAGAAAAAGGATCAATATATACATCCTGATTCCCCTATCAATTTCCAAATCAAGGCAGATTTCAACTAACCTCGTCGCAATTAGTTGCGCAATTAATTCCGGTTCAGCCGCGATATTGGATCTAATCCCGCCTCCAACGGCACGAAGTGGCGTGCAGTGGGGTGGTTTTCCAGACGCAATAAATTAGCGTGGAATCAGCTGGCCTAACTCCCATTGACAGTTTCCAGCTGTAGTGAATTATCGTTCGGTCGGGTTAACGATAAGCTCGAACCCTCAGACAGACTACTTTGTTGCTTTTTCCCGCCCCCTCTCCTATTCCCTAAGGATCGATCTGTCTTCCATACGCTGAAACACCCCGACCAGTTTCCGCTCACGCGAACGTCATCGAAGGAGCGAGCTAAGGAATGATTTTCAGAGGGGTTTGGTTATTAATTTTGCACGGAGGTACGCCCGTGTCGAGTTCGAAAGAAATTTATGCCCGTTGCGATCGCCACTCGCGGGAAATTATGGTCTATGAGGGATGGGGTGAAGAGTTTGGGCGGAATAAATTAAATTCTTTGCAGCTCGATGGAAAATAATACTGTGGGTGGTTTGTTGGTAATTGAAGCATACGATAAAGAGAGCAATTGATAGAAAAGACTGCGGCTTCGTCCTCTACAACCTCCTCAACAGGGTGTCGGAGTTTAAAGAGAATCCCTTTTCATTTTTGTCACCTCGTCCCTTTGTCGACGAATCCAAGCGAAGTATCCCGCGTTCGCGTACACCTGGCAGCATCTGGCGACAGTTTTTGTGGCTTGTCATCGTCCCATCCCCTCCCGTACCATTCACCCTTCGTTTACATCTAACGCTTTAATCTTGAATATTCCGCCAGTTATTTCTAGACTCGGTTGTTAAAAGTATTAGCGTGACCCGACGTTAATTATTCCAAGGGCCAGCGCACGGCAGAAATAAAATACCCGCCGTCCTGTCCTCGACACGCTCGAAGAGGGGTGAATTACCTGTAACTCGATTAAAGAGACCCAGGGAACCGCCGCTGGCTAGGGCGGTTCGTTTGACCTCCCTCCCTCCGTCTAGAGTTTTTTCGTGTACATTTTCTTTGACGCGTTCTGGCGCCTTCGATATCGGAATGAACCTCTTTGATTTGAATTGCGAGAACCAACCCTCTTTCGAAGGATTCTCTGGATCTAGGGATCATCCGGGGATTGGGAGGGACTTTTTTTTACTTTACTCGTAAATTACATGCTGGTAGAACAGGGTTCTGATATACGAAGGGTTCGTGAAGGGTGCCTGAAAATTGGTATGATATTCTGACTGAGGAATATTAAGGTTGGAGTATCGGGACGCTCGGGTGTCGACGACGTGAGGCGTTGTGAACTTCAGGATAAAATCTCAGCTCATTTACATCTAAAGAACGAATGGGTCGAGGAATATTTGAGAATAAGTCTTATTAACAGAGGATTCTACTTTACCAAGCCTTACCGACACATTGCTCTGCTTTACCAAGCCTTATCGACAGTTTACTCTATTTTACCATCTTTTATCAATATTCAAACGTCAATATCCCAAACTATGCTCTACCATTGTCTTTCCACATCCAATTCTCAAAGGATCACGAACACAGAAAATTGAAAAGAAAAACAAAATGCTGAAACTCACCGTCAGGTACAGCGTGGCTGGTCATCAGGAAGTTGACGCAGGCCGCGCCAGTTCCGTGTCCTATCAACGTTACGTTTCCAGGATCGCCGCCGAAGTAGCCGATGTTCTCCTGCACCCAATGCAGCGCCGCGATCTGGTCCATCAGCCCGTAATTCGCAGGGGACCGTAAGTGCGAATCCGTGTTAGCATTTAGAAAGCCTGTAATTAAAACAAGCTCGCTTATGGTCGCTGCGGCCGTCTGCGGCGCTATCGGCGCCGGCCGTGTAACCGCGTCCAAATTACCCGGACCCGCCGAAAATCGGGATTAATTCGAATCGACGGATCAGCCGACTATGGACCACGGATTACGTATCGCGGTTGTAAATTATTCTTTACGAGCTTCTTCGAACCGATCGTTCGAGGCAATTGTCCACCGCGTTATTCCCTATCGAAATGGGCCACTGGCAAGGTTGATGCATTTTAACGACTGGACATTACAAGAGGGATTGTGGGGAATTGTTTGAGCAATTTTTGTAATTTCTACTTTGAGGAAAAATTTAAGGAATGCGTGTGTGTGTGAATTTTTGTGGATGTATTCAACTATCTAAGAAACCTCTTCTTATATAATTATTGTTATATATGTGACACACCTCTTTGGTAGTGCTCCAGTTTTCTTCCAATATTTTCCTTCCCCCTTAAACGAGGCAGAGAGGTAAAAGTGCTTTTCTAAGCATATAGAAGTTTTTCGTGGCAGGATAAGACGCTAGAAGGAAACGTAGCAAATCGAGCGTTCTTGACCAAGACCTGGATGTGCATTCGCCGCGAATTGTGCCATATCTCTTGGAAAAATCTTGTAAACACGTGTGTAAACGCGTGGGAGGGTATACAGGGAGCTTTCCTGGGTGAAAAGTGTGCCGAGTAGAATAAGGATCCAGCGCAGCATCCCTTGGAAAGGAAATGAAGCCAGCTCGCGTATACGAAAGACACTTTTGACCGAGTAGCTGCGGCCTTTCCGGTCCCCGGTGCTTCCGTCTGCCATAAATACTATTTCAATGGCCTGCATCGATTGATAGCGATATCTCGCGCGGTGGAACGATATGCAAAATAGAACACGTCGGGTCAGCGGCGAATAAATCGTCCGATTATTTGATCGCCGAATGCACTGGTCCCAGATTCATTCTCGTTTAATTGCACCCGATGGTTTCCACCGTTTGCCCGCCATTTTTCACCCTGTCTACCGCGTTTAGGGAAATAGTTTCGCAAGTATTTATCCACTTGTTTACCTTATATCGTGTTTCCACTCTCGGTTTTGAGCCACCTTTGGTTTAGCAAACACGCACGTGCATTTCGAATCCCGATATGTATTCATTTATATACATATTTATCCAATATGATTCTTTCATTTTCTATTGCCAGCAGAGTGTTTATCTGTTTACTAAATCAACTATGCCGAATTGAGTGTAAAGAACACTTCAAAGTAAAGCGTACAAGCGACTGCCTTCAAAGTGAAGTGCGCGAATAAATAATCTGAAAATAGCGAAAAGATAAAGGAAGAATTGGCTTGAACATTCGCAGCACCAAAAATTCTCAGAAGCTCGAGCAATACAGCGAGCAAAGCAGTTCCGTGGCCTGGAGGTTTCCAGCCTTTGGCAATTGTTCGTTTGCGCGACGATAAACGAAACGACTCGCCGCTTGGAAATTCCTTTCAACCAGCTCCCGGGTGTTCGAGGGCGCGCATTTTTCGACGAGTGTCGACGAGCTTCCCAAATTATCGATTTGGCAACGCTTCCCGTGAACAGATAGCCGAACGACGTTGACCTATTTTCGAAGGATGGAGAACGCTTGCCTTGTTAAGACTAACGCGCCAGGAGCAAGTGTACGTAACGGGATGTAATCCTCTTAGCTGCAGGAAGGTGCGAAAAAGGTTGAGAACTTTCATGATACTGGCAAATAAACGTTAAGGATAATTCATGAGCCCGATAGCGAGACCTCACCTCTGTCTTGCACACCTTCGTTCTAGGAACATCTAAATCTATCCCAATGATCCTTTAAACTGCCAATGAGCTTTTTAACGCCTCGTACAGGTCGAAAATAAAAGAGCGAAAGAGCAATCACTAGCAAAACTTGCGAAATGAATGAAATAATCTTTAGAAAAGATATCCTTCATATTCTTATACGTCTAATACACCAACCTCGGCCATTCGAACAATCTTCATTCTCAGCGTGACTTTTGCAACGGAAACTGGAAACTGCAAAGCGCAAACAGAAGAAGTAGAGAGCATTTTCCACCAGACATAATAATACCGGCGTGTTTAGCGTCGTCTCGCGGTGTGTATGAAACCGACGAATAATTTGAGTGTGCACAGCCAGCTGGGGATATTACGCGAAATTGCTGGGAATAATATAGAAATTTACATTTAATTTCGTTGAAATGGGAAGCGCTCGACGGAAGAAGTCGCGAGAGAATAGGACGCGAAAACGTGCAACGCATTCTTCCTTTTCTACGGTGTAACTACACCCGGGGCTGGAATTTCCAGACGATTTTCTCGTTGTACGATCGCCGATAAATTAATTTTCCGACGAACACGCCAATTAACCAGCCGTCCTGGGCTCTCGAAATGAATTCTTTTGTTCCGCTCGCGGCTCGATTTCGAACTTTCGAAAATTGGCTCCCTTTTGTCGAGCAGAGCACGACCTGAACTTTTCATTACTGTGATTTTTAACTAAAGAGAAGCTCGCAATTTTTCCAATTCGTCGGGAGCATCGGCCCTGGGACCCACGTACTCTTATCATTATGGTATTTTACGTGTAGGAGTTTTGGTAGTATTAGAAGATGGTAGAATGAAGAACAGGTTCTGAAACTTTTCAATCATTCATTTTCTTCGTGCTTTTTATTTTTGACGCTATTAAACGCTAACATTTTATCACTCGAAAAATTCTAAGACTCTGAGATTCCAAAACCTTAGAAGCTTAAGACCCTAAAACCTTGAGACCTTACGACTCCAAGATCCTAAGACTTTGAAACTCCAAAATTCTAAAGCTCCAACGCCCCGAGACTCCAGGATCCTGAGATTCCAAGACCGTAAGACTCCAACACCACAAAAATCACACAAACGTAATTTTCTGATTTTCGTTTCGGAACAATTGCGCAAACCTCCAGGGAAGAGAGGCACTGTAATTAACGACGGCCCTAAAAAGCACAGAATGCGTCGTTTATTTTCCAGCGGGTAAATGTTGTTAATAAATTGTCGGTCGTTCGTCAGTCCACCGTGCATTGAACCCTTCACGCTCAATTTCGGCGCACTCCGCGATGATCGATGAAAACGAGGTTTAAAGCAACGCTTACGCTCTAAACAATGCATGCTGAATATGCATGCGCGATTCTCAATTTCCCGCGATAATATATTGCCTAGCGATTTTCTAGGGCTCCCGTTCGCATCGGCATAACGCGTGATTGATGAACCTTTCAGACATATTACCAAACATGGCTTTCCCTTCGAAAACCGTGGTCCCTCTGGTCCCGCGCGACTTGCCCTTTCAGGCAGATTCACAAAGCTGTCGGAGCAATACTACAAGAGTTAGATTTGCATGAAACTTGATTTCTTGATGAACATTGAAATCTGAATGATCCAATAATTTTAATAAAATATAGAAACTCTTTGTGTGGCGTCATAGGCGACGAATTATGAGCGACTGGATCGATCCGGAGGACCCCTAATGACACTTCCGACATCGACTATCGCGTTGCTCGCTCGCACGCACGAAGCATTAACGATAAGATCGCGTTTGCAATTTTTCCTTGTTATCGTGGCTACAGGGTTGCGTCTAAACATTCACCATGCACGCAATCGCGTCACGCAAACGTCCAAAAGAAAGGGAAAAATAAAATAGTGACGAGGGAACTGCGAACGGATCCTGTTGCATCTTTTATGGTTCGAACAGGTGTTAGAGCGGAAGATATTGGCCGACCAAGGTCGTCAAGCCACCACTCGTACTCTTCGGTTACCATGTATCGAAAAAGAAGCAAATTAAATTTGTGGTGATATGTACTAGAACTAAATTGTTGGCTCATGGTTCGGTGGACCTTGTTCTAGAAAATAGAGAAACGTAATCTAGGTTATTATTTTGATACTAAAAAGTCATATTAAATTTGTCGTTTTAAAAAGAAATTTTACGATCCTCTTTTGCAATACTTCGTGACTCAAAAGGCTGTAAAGTTATCCCTTGAGTAATTGCAATGGATTCGAACTTGGCAGCGAATGGATTAAGATGTATTGACTAGCCACTTGATTTGCCGTCTACCTAACCTTCTCCTGCACGAAAAATCCCGATCTTTGATACGCATGAACAAGTGGAGGGGGGAAAGGGGACTCTGGGAAGTGGAACCACGCGCGAAACTGGAATGGAAATAAACCACCACCGGTCATATCCCATTTGATATTCAACCTCCGGAGTATCTGTCGTGCTGCGCTTCCGTGTCCCCTATTCTTCTCGTTACAATGGAACTGCTGAACGTTACTCGTTGATTTAAATTTTCCGGTACATGGGCGTGCACAGTCGCGGCTGGATATCGTCACCGTTCCCCTGGCCCCCTTTCGCAACGACCTCGCGGCTCTTCGGTTCGGCACAAAGCGACGCGTCACTTTTGCCCAGGCCAGAAGTAAAAACGAGAAAAATGAAGAGCGAAAATTGCGGCCACGGCGCGTCCCAAAACCGAGCCTCGTCCGTTTCAACGGGGTAACGATGGAATCAAATTTCGATATTCCCCCCCCCCCCCTCCCCTCCCCTCCCGCCCCCATTCCGCTCCCCTCTCCAACCCCTTTCCGCCCATTGAGCCTGTTCCTTCTTTTTTCCCCCCATCACCTACCCGTGACTTTCCTCCACCTGCTCAAATTTATTCGATTTGGTCCGATCGTAAGCGACGAATGTCTTTCTAACGAAACTCCTTATCTAGAAGATAGCTACTGACAATTAACGAGAAACAAAGAACGTTCTAGAAATTACTTGAAATAACCTCGATTCAGCGATTTAAGCAACGCGAAATGTTCAGAGAAACAAAACGACTTGGCTGCAGATTTTCCTCTCGTGATGTTTAAATTTTTCAAGTTAAAATCGCGACCACGCCCCGAACGGAGATTTCGGAGTTACCTTTTATCCGGTAATTAATTTAGAAAATAGAGCAGGACGAAACAACGGCGTCACGTTATTCGAAATTTCTGTCCGAAATTTAAACGACTAGACCGTCCAGTTTTCGCGAACGTGGACGTTATTCAGAGTTAAGCGCACGGGGAATCCCGCTGATGTACAAAACGCCAGGAATGTAATTCAAGAAACGGAACCTTGTTATATCGTTCCGCATGCCGCGGAACACGTACAGCGGCATCACTTTAGCTGGCCGAAGGGACGGCCAGGAAAATGCACGAACCGTGGAGTAAAAAAAAAAAAAAAAAAAAAAGAGAAAAAAGAAAAATGAAAAAAGATGAGAGAGAAAACGAAAAAAGAAAATAGAGGAAGAGAAACGTATTCGTGACATTGTGAAACTGGATTCCGCTTCATTTCCATGTAAAATTAACGGCGGGCAAGCTTAAAAATTCGGAATTTACCCGACGGGCCCGCTGTTTTCTCTGGGAATTACGTTTAAAGGACGGAAATCTGGTCCACTCGAAGTGCCGAATTCCCTTTGATTATTCGCTCAGCAACTGGAACGAGACACGGAACCAAAAATGCGCAGACGGAATATTTCGAGAATATCCCAAGCAATTTGTATCAAAAACAGTAGCGCGAGCATATATTTGGAACGAATGCTCCCTGGAAGTGGGTTCCCTTCGATGCGTTGCAGACTGTTATTCTTTGGTATAGGAAACAATTTTTGTATGCGCTATAAATATTCATAAAGAAGCTTGTGTGTACGCAGATTGGAGGACAATCGTTTTTGAGTCTCCAACAAGCTGGTATTTATTTTATGCGTTGCCATGATTGAATTCATTATACTAGAAAATGTATCAGCGAACGATCCTCAATATTTATAACTTTTAAGTAAATTAAAAAATACCTCTGTTATCTTTAGCCACAGTTTTTCTTCCTGACGCAGAGATTATTACATCTTCTCACACAGTTTAATAAATTCCTGTAATATCCTAATTTCACGAAGCTTTAAATCTTTAAAAGACAATTTATAAATGAACAATCCCTACAAAGTAATCTGTCACCCGAGAATAAAGTCACTCAGACCTCTCTACGTGTAACTACCCTAAGAAATTCGAGGGTCAGGTGTTAACATAAGTCTCCAGGCGAGGCTCCCTTAGATGATCGAATTCTACGGAACAACGTCTCCCTAATAATCCGGGAGATGAAAAGAGGGAGCTCATCTGGGCATTTCCAAAACGCTCGATTTCCCACACTTCCCTCTGCGCAATCCTTCCCCCTCTTCTTTCAGATCCTTGATTACGAGAAGTTAAACTTCCTTTCGACAATTGGCTCCACGTGAAATCTTGATTAATCTCCGCGCAGACTTCGACTTCATTTTTGGAAACACGTGATTCGCGCTGACGTCACTCGAATTTACAAACGAGGCCAAATCAATGCGAGCGTACGAGAAAAGTCACATTTATTGAAATAGGAAGAAGAAAACGATCAAACTTGGAAATCACGATCCCTTTGGTCACTGCCCCCATAGCGAAGGGGGTTGAAACTATGCAACGATTTTGGAAGAGCTAATGAATGACATATACTTCAGGATACCGTAAAGAATTGCATTGAACGTTTCTCAAAATTTTAATTTCCAGGTGCAAGGACTCGATTTAGCCACAGTGATCGCGTTGATGTTGCCACGCCTGTATCATCGCCCGAAGAAGCTGACGAGCTCCAGACATGGGAACAGCGCCAGCCACTGTCACGGAAGCGGAGGCAGAGTCAAGAATTTAGTTTGGTGAAACGAAAGACCTGGCAGTAATGAGTTTCCTATTAGATTTAGCTGCCCTGGTTGCCTGGCAACCCTGCCAGAACTTTCAATCCCTTCAGCGTGGCCTCGCGGTCAAACATCTTCTTTATTCTTATTGGGTCTAGACGTCGATGCATCCAAATATAACGTCAGGCCCTCCATCTTCCACTAAACACGCATTGACGATGAAGCATACATATTGAAGCAGCTCGTTGGATACTCAGGGGTGAGTTTCTGCTTTCTAAGAAAATTATTCCTAATTTTCCAATAATAATTATATTTTCGGAACTCCATAGTTTTAAAATAATATTGTTTGTACATATACAACGAGAAACAAAACTTTCAATAGAAATTGAAAATCACCCGAATTTAACGCGTGTTGGCCAGGACTGTTCTATACATAATACCCACGACCAAAATAATGTTCTCGCGAGAAGTCAATGAACGAACCCACCTCTGGATAGCTTTCATTGTTATTTCAAAAATTTGCTCCCGCATAAAAGTTCCGTCGACTTCGAACGGTGCATTCCCAAACTCGCGGAAGGCTGAAACGTGCGGTCGAATAATTTCGCGGGCAATATTACAGCCGTGGTCGTCAGAGGGGGATGTTTTTCGCTTTCCAAGCCAGAGAGGAGGAACAGCAAACCAGAAACGAGTAACTAGTTTCACCTGACTCCGGCGAGATACACAGTCGCCACGCTAATGGCTATGCTCGTCTCGCTGTTGAAGGTTCCGACTGCGTTCGCACACTCCTTCCAGCACCAAGTTCCCTACGCACGTAATTAAGGCAGCGCTCGCAGCTCGCAGCTAACGATCGGCTTCTGTGTCGTTCCCAGCTACGAGGAGCCGTGCATCCAGAAACTGGGTGACAAAGTTTAACTCGCTCGACGTTCGTCAAGGGATCGAAATTAATTCTGGACCCACCCGACACCCTCTGCTGCCTAGACATTGTCTGTTGCTCGCGAGAAGCAGAGGGAGGAGGGGGGGGGTGGGTAGGTGAGCACGAAATCGGATTTTCTTCGTTGATACTGGCTTTGAGACGCTTATCCACCTGCTAGGGAAGTGATTGACACAAGTGGAGGGGTCGAGGAATTTCGTAACAGTTGGGTGATGGGGCTTTGGTGTACTTAGGGGTAATTCAGGGAGGAGCAAGTCAAGCTTCTCTTGGTCGAGTGCGAGTACATTATTTAAATGACATCCTAATGTGTTTGACTTGTTTTTAATATTGAAAGAAATGATAGGATGTACACAAGGGGTTGACTATAGTGGAGCAATATTCGGTTTGACTTAATGGTATAGTGGTTGATGTTAAGAGGGGTTCAACGTTACAGAAAAATAAACTCACCCAAAATGCCAAGCCTGTAATTGATGGTGACGACGACGACGCTGCCATAGCTCGCCAGGACGCTGCCGTCGTAGGGGTTTCCGCTGCTCCATTCGTAGCTCTCCCCATGCACGAACACGATCACGGGGTATTTCCTTCCTGCCCCCTCCCTCGCGCCAGCTGTAATCAATAAAATTATCTGGTGATCGATCGGCACCGCTGACACTTGATACTTTACGTCGCGCATCCTTAAACGGTCATTTTTCAAAGGTGTCGCTTTGCAAAGTTTTGACGCCCGCCATAAAGGATTATCGGTGGGCTCGCGTGTACCGCGTTGATTTCAAACCTACGTTATGGAAATTAATAACTTTGTTTACTTCATGGGAAATGCTCGCTGGTTAACTATACCAAAGATTTTTGAGAGGAGTCGTAGCAACCCCTAAGAAATATATTTTATCTCTCGATACAGTCTTTAATTTTATCTCTAATTTTATCCACACTGTTTCAATCGCTATCGTGCACGTGGTTCGCGCAGCTTGACAAACTTATCAAGTAGGTTTCCCCAGCCCAAGTGAAGTTGATGTGTCACCATGAGTCAGACCTTTTTCGCCAGCAGCCCCTTTCAACCCTTCGGTCCTGCTAGCGTCGATTGATCGAGCTCCGATCGTCGATTAACCTCTCGCGACTCTGTCGGAGCTTTGGATTGGAGAGACGGCATTGTGACCACTGGTCATTAAGCCTCTTTGATTTTTCTCCTCGCCACAGTGTTTCTTTACGCGCCACTTCCACGGCTGGTGGTCATTAAGGGTGCTTATAGAGATTGAGAAGCGTTTGGAGATTCAGCTTTACGGCCGTCGATGTTTTTAATAAGAACCTTTTCAAACAGGACTGCAGGAAGCATCGCTTCCCTTTCAGTTTTTCCACTCCTCGCGGATTTTATTTTGCTACTTCAGTGATTCCCGCCGTGGGAAGTAAGTGGAACGCAATTATCCAGTCGGTGAGAGGGTGCATCGTTTATTGCTTATTGGCAGAGAGGAATTTTAAGAAACATACTTTGTATTCTCTATTTCTCACGATGTGAGAAGCCTCCGGAACACTTATATTCAAGATTAAATACCCAAATAAAATGAGATATATAAAACAGAGCTTCGGAATAAGTGAGATTTCTAAATTAACAGTGTCGTTCTTCGAAACAGTATTTTTATATTTCTATATCATAATGAAGCAAGGAAATTGAAAATTCCAAATAATTCCGTAATTAATAAATTATGTTCCACAAAAAAAAAAAAAAACAATTCACGCAGAAGAGATTAAAATCCGAAGAATTCAATGGGGTAGGATGGATGGCGTGGGACACTTGATGATCGCTGCGCATCGATGGAACGCGGTATCGATCGGTGACCGCGCGACCAAACTACGTCTCGATTTACGATATTTCGGTGGACAATGCACGTATGAATTTAAAAACTCTCAAGGCTTTACGGGTCAGCTACGTTTTTACGCTGGCTGAGCCCGACGTTAAATACTTTCCATATGATCGGAAGTCTTTAAAATGCAGTGGCGAGAATAAATTCTTTGGTGGTTCGTTCCCGCGGAAATATTCGCTCTACGGAAGCTTGGAATATTATCAAATGCTGATAAAATTTCAATATCAACAATGTCGTCGATGCTCGTAGGTTTCGCGGTGCATGGAGCGATTACGTGCACCCGAAACGGTTCCTTCCCGCAATCCATAGTCGAGATAAAATAGAAACTTATAGAATAAATGAATTCTCCCTAGAGAGGTGGGTCGTTTAATTTTCAGCAATTTCCATTCCGAGCTGGAAGGCACGCCCGAGGTATTGATAAAAATTCGGTATCGATTTTATGCATGAAAGTATTAATACTTGGGCAATTAATATATTTTAAAATGGATTTTCTTGAATATCGTGGAATTGTATCATTGTTACAAGGGTAGGATTTTTGATATTAATTTGTTCTGTCTGTTGGACTGTGTTTAAAGTTAAATATATTGAATTTTGTAAATGGTGGGCTATAGTCATGATTAGTTTTGGGAATGTAAACTGTGGAAATCTCTCGAAGGTATTAATAAATGTCTCCATTACACTAATAAACGTAAACAGATTTTACAAGCTCGAAGACTCTGGATTTTGTAACCCATGGTGGGTAAATGAAAGTGTTCCGCGAACTAAACGAAACGCCGTGTCACGAGAGCCTTTTGTTCGCAGTAAAAACAGGAGCATTAGCCCGGGTCGTTTCAATTTAATGGGCCACCCTCTGAAAACATTAAAGATCCGCCAGTGTGCTTCGCGAAGCTCTCGTTAAAGCGCGCGTAAGTAGCTAAATTGCGTATCGCATTATTGACCGGCGTTTGCGACGCCGATTTTAACATCCGTCGACTCGAAATGAAACCGATTTCGCGATAATGGGCGAGCTTCAATTGCTCCTCGAGATTCGACGGTGTCGAGCTCTCTGGGAACGCGTTGGCACCCATTGAAAGGAAAAGTTTCGTTATTACTTGACGTTACTACTTCTGCCCAACGATTTTCTAGATAATTCGCGAAGAAGTTTGCTAACTGAATAGAAAAATTACCACGGAGACAGATGATTCCACTTTATTATTCATAAAATTAGGAAGATTCTATTTCCAAGAAATAATTAAATCATCAATGGAAAAAACAGTCCCTCGCTGACAAGATGGAATCATAGAAAAAAAACATTCCTCGACCAACATGGAGTTCCAAAAAGTTGTTTTCCAGGCCTGCTACAATGGTAATCCTTGAAAAAATGAGAGGTTGCCTTCCAATTCTGTTCCAAGAGCTCCGAGGATAGGGGCTTAATCGAAAGTGTACTCGATCGAACGTTAATAATGCACGTTTCCCGGTTTAGGTCCGATTTCCAGCCATTGGATTCAAAGAGCTACGGTTTCAATGATCCGGTCAGCCGATCGAATCCTTCGATGCCTGCGGAGCATTATCTGACGACACGCGACGTATCGCGTTCGAGGTAATTAAAACGAGGGCTCGCGGATGCGAGCGGAGTACGTCAATCGGATTTAGTATGCTAATACTGGGGGTTGGAGCACACGCGAGCATGATCGCTGCGGCTGGCATCGGTGTCGATCATAATTCAACAAATCACGCGTTACCACCGCCACGGCGAGCAATACTGTTCATACCATGCCGTTCCATTTACTTTTGGAATCATCCCATGACCAAGAACGAAGAGAACAACGAGCAAAGAATAAGTAGAGAAGCATTTAATTTTATGACGTAGTTGGAAAATATTTTCTGAGATTGTAAGCAAACTTAATAATTTGAATTTTAGTATGAAAGTCGTAACGATTCAACGAAATAATTTTTAAATGGCCGACAAATAACCAAACGATTAGTTTCATTTCGAATATATATTTAATTCACTCTTCAGAAAATTTGCATACCTACTCTTTTAAAAGAATTCATATCTTGCTTGCCTTTTTATTTGAATATGGAGTTGATCGTATAATTAGCCAGACGGTACTTGTCACGATCCAATTCAATATCACTGAAACGTCTCTTTAGCAAAATGGTTGGGAAGAGATTAATTAATAACTCGAAATAAGAATTCGTTGGGATAACCTGTCTCCCACGTCTCTAGTTGGCCATTCCGCGATGCTTATTTCTCAGGTGCTTTCGCTCGGCTTCCACTTTTATTTGACTTCTCTCTTTGTCTCCCTCGCACGACAGTACATTTTCTACTGATGGCTTCTCCAGTTACTCGAGCTTACCTTTGATCTAGTTTCCCTGTTTCCGCTGTCTTTCCTCTTAAAATCGCTCCCGTTGTTCCCTTTTATACCGTCGTGTTTCTCGGGGCAACACTCCCCGCCATATGGACCGTGCACGCCCTCGAAATATTTTGTAGAACGGACTGCGAGGCTTTTCGGGAAAATACGCCCTTTCCCAATTTTGTCTCGCGTTTTATCGGGCTCGGGGAGAAGCTACGCTTTTTGCGCTACTTATTTCGCGTTTCTATTGTACAAGCCATTTTATGCGAAAGGGAACCTCCTCGACGGAATGTTTTTTTTTCCATCTTCTCTGTGGTCAAAGGGAAACAAAGAAATTAAATCTCTCCGGGAGGAAATTTCAAGTATTTTTATAGAGTTGTGGCCGGGTTATAACAGTTTCCTCAATCTTGTCTGTTTATTCTGCTTTTTTCTATACGATGTGCTTTCATATGAAAGCACTTCGCTTTGTATTAACTTCTCGAATAAAAAATGTATACATTTCTTGGATTATCAGTCTCTCCAAAGAGTGGAATTTCTGAAGTTTATGTTAAAGTAATAAAAATGGAATTTTCTGTATCAAAGCGTGGAGAATAATAGAATTATTATTAGTTACTCGAAGTGGTTAGAGTGGATGCAAACTGCCTTTGAATTTTTATCGAACAACTTTTACAGAGGTTCCCATTAGGAAGATAGTAGGTACGAAAGTGGCATAAAAATGGAAACGCGGGTTATATGTATCGCAAAATAGTCTAATTATGATAAAGAAGGCTGATTATATGCGAAGGCCCTTATACCAACCTTGCCTGGGGACCTTGCCATAGCAATATGCGCGAGTATATGGTCTTGGAGTATTATTAAATCGTAACTCTCAGCCATCAATGTTACCGTCATTTTCCCTGTACTTCTCTCGAGTCTAAAAGTAGTCAACGTGCTACATAAAATTAACATTTCAAAAATATGAATTTCTAATTTCAGTAAAATTCATACACGATAAAAAAATCTCTCACTATCGAATTAATATAGCTTATTTTGCCCATCAATGATCCATCACGAACAATATTCCATTCGAACGGAGACAATTAATTTCTTTCCATTAATGAGTCATCGCTTTACCTTTGACCGCTCTTAATTGCGACCACTTGCCCGGAATCCTGTTGCACAGGATAATCTGAAAGCAAGATTCTACAAACACAAAGAGCCCTTTTGATCATGATCGTGCATCGACGTCGACTATCATCAATATCACCCAACAGGGACTCCGTGGAAGTTAGGAATCGAGCGTTATCGTGAGACGCACGCCCGCGACGATGGATCGACGCTGGATGGAATTTAATCTGCGAGCAAATTTGCACGATCGATATATATTCGATCGCGACGATCGACGATGATAAATTCAACGGAGCAGACGCGACGGTTT